GTTTGGGGAGGTGCGACCAAAACTATTTTCTTAACTCTGGAAAGAGCACAACGGGCTCTTCTGAAAGTAATGTTCTTCTTGCCATACAGATCACCAGCGGATAGCTTATATTTAAAAAAGAGGTATCTTATCGGTAAGAAAGCTGTACCTCCTTCGTATTGTGACGAGAAAACACAAGTCAATTTACTACGACCCAGGAAAAAGTAATCGTAGGACGATAGTTAACGTTGTTCCGCAGCCCCGGGTTAAATCGGTATTTTCAAAGAGGCAATACAACAGCCAATCTGCTTAGATATATAATAAACTTAATAAGAAACTAAATATTTACCCTGTAACATATCTTAAATGTAAAAAGACACTAGAGAAATGATTAATTACAAAAAACTATGAAGAAATCGAGAGTATCATTCATCACTCATAAGCGTATCTGAGTGCTATGCAACCTTTGGTGACAGTTATAGAAAGCTATTCATTGAACAATGATAACTTCCGATCCCAAAGCACAGTCGTAGGGCCAATAAACCAATATGTGTTATATTCCACATAATAAAAATAATTTACAAGGGTACATATTCAATACACACACACACACACACACGCGCGCGCGCCCACACACGCACACGCGCCACGCACACACACACACACACACACACACACACACACACACACATACGCACACGCACACACACACACACACGCACACACACATACCCACACACACACACACACCATATTTTGTAACTCTTAAAGTCGTACAATAATATAATAATAATCTGCCTATATTATTTTATACTTCTAAAATTTAATAACTAATATTTATTATTTTTCACCTCAACTTAATGTTATATACCCATTATTTGGAAGAGCGGTGCTTCCTAGTACAAGGAAGCTCCAACCACAATATCCTATGTAATAGATTAAGTTATGCAATAAAAAATTTGAATTTGAATTTGAAAAAAAAATTAAGTTAGTTTGTAAATTAAGTAGTCTAGAATTCCCGTGTACATTGTCACAGTAGTTAGGTTAACATGTAAGTTAGAAAATAAAAGTAATATAGGAAAAGTCTTCGTCTCCTTCCACTTCACCCCTTGATACGCTGCAGCAAACGTAAGTAGCGTGTCATTAACACGTTGACTGCGAAACGAGGCTTGAAACACCTCGTCCGTGTCTCGTCTTTATAGGGGTAAGGAAAAACTTAAACTTCTCTGTCGTGCGAGAGGCGTAACTTCCGTTTGCTTCAGTCTAGGAAAGAGATATACTATAGACTACATATCTGATATGTGCTATTGATGCCGAGTTTTTTTTGTATATCTATTTTTCAGGCCTTGTACCGCACTGAATAAATTAAAGTTTAATACAGTGCGTTACGAGGTTGCGAACACCTCGTACCTAGCACACCTCGTACCGCACCCTACGCTAGCTTTACGCGGTTAGTGTAGTGCAAAACGTTGAACGCTGCACCCGAGACGATATAATAAGATGTCGAAACGTTGCCGAAGAAAGTTAATGAATAATGTTATTGATGATGAAGAGGAATTGGGTGGTAAATCTTATTCTAAATTACCGATATTTGAAAAACAGGTAAATTTCCAATCAATATTTACAATTATACTCAGGCTAAGTGAAGTAATTATGTAGGAATATAACAAATAAATTCAACTGACAAAAGCAAAACACACACAGGCCGTAACGATCCCATACTTATGTATAGAAATGCTCCAATAAATCGCTATACCTAATCAACCCGCTTCAGAAATACACTATCAGTTTTTTTTAGAACCCGCTCCAAACAATCCACATCATCTCAAAAAACGATCAAAGAAAAGAAGATGTGTAGGATGGTACGAAAAACTTCGCACCATCTTATCAAGTCGTGAGGCTGACAAAATAGCAAAGAAAATTCTCACAGAATGTATCGGTTGCAAAAATATTATTGTTTGACCTGTTTTAATAAAAAGCATCCATAAGTACAATTAAATAAAATCGATATGTTTTCCCATCACTAAAAAATATGAAAAACTACCTTTTTTCAGTTCGGTATGGGGTACATAAGACCCCACATTTTATTTTACCTATAGAATCTAAACTAAATAATCTGCCCACAGGCAGCGGCAGATTTAGGTTAATCAACTCATTGATAATGATAATCGCGACAAAAACCATACAATTCGCCTTATTTGGCGCCAAAAAAAGGATTTTTGTCTCATGTGGGCGGGGTCTCATGTAGCAAACCTCAGGTGAGGTTTACTAAGCCTCGTGCCGCTACAACCTCTGGTTCAGAACGAGGTTTCAAACGTCTCGTAACGCAGTAATGGAAAGTACAGATAAATCAGTGCCGCTGGGAACGTGTTAAGGGAGTAAATAGTAGGCAAAAGCTCCGGGCATTGACTCGTACACACACGAGCGAGCGTATACTGTAGTTGTTGCCCATAAATCACATTAAATTTCGGATATTTTCAAATAAATGTAGAAACCTTATTTACGTGTATTTTCAAAACTGCAAAAAGTGTAGATCAGTATTAATATTTTGAAATTAATTACTAGATTTGACTAGTCTTTCAAATATAACCCTGTTTAATGTCGTAAATGTGTAATTTAGTCCTTTGGAGGGGACCTTCTAAGGATCAAATTATCAGCAATATTACAACCTCAAGATACTAAGCGACCAGAATATCGCCTCAAAAATTACACAATTTTTTTTAAATCTTTTTTATTAAAAATCGATGATAACCTTTAAGGTGGAAGCCAAGTTAATGAAAAAATAATTAAAATCACAAATTTGACTATTTTTCATGAGGTCGATCGACGGATTAAATTTGGTTGGGCAGCGTTCGGGAAATTACGACACATCCTCTCGTCAAGTATACCTCAAAACTTGAAAATGTGATTATACAACCAGTGCGTGCTACGACTGTTGGCTTATGAGTCTTAGACTTGATCCTTCACTGCTGGCCGTATTAGGAAGCTCAATGTCACTCTGTAAGCTATGGACAGGACTTTGCTCGGGATTTGCCAGCGTGATAAACTTAAGGATGAGGGTAACCGCAGTAGGACCAGAGTGATAGATATATCCCAACGGATTAATAAGCTAAAGTGGCAATGGACCGGCCATATAGCTCAAAGAATTGACAACCGATGAGGAAAAAAGATTTTCTAGTAGCAGCCTCATACCGGTACGTGAATTGTAGGGCGACCCCGCACTATATGGAGTGATGACCTGTTAAAATATGCAGGAAGTCGATGGATGCAAGTGGCTCAAGATCATGTTTTGTGGCATTCTTGGGGGAGGCCTATGTCTAGCAGTGGACTTGTGAAGGTCTGATATGATGATGATAGGATGTGATAATGATTTACAATTTGTAACGATATCGCGTAACAGACTTATATTATTTTTTTTTTTCTTTTAATTAATTATTTATTATAAGTCGAAAATCTATTGATATTTTATAATAATAATAATTATTATTATTATTGAACAAGACTAGTTTATAAAGACCAACAACTATCGGAGATACATCCTAAGTGTTCACAGTCGATATCTGTAAAGCTTGTCGCTATCCCGGAGAATCATTAAGGCTGATTGACACGTTCTAACTCTGAGTACTTTCACAGACACAACCTAGCGAGGATCTTATACCAGGAGAGCGCCCTGAAATACGGTATCGTGGATCGTAAACTGCCTTATTATAAGTATTTGTCGAAAGCCGTCCTCGAACGCGCCAGGCTCTCGACCCGGGCCATCAATACAGACAAGACTATTGCGAATCATCTGATATTGTGCTGATGGACCGGGCACAGTTAAGGTAGTTTCGATCGACATTACCATTTCGTATGACGAAATCCTCGTTAAAGCCGAAACTGATAAGTGAACAAAATAGCTGGACCTGGGTTATGAGGTGGCCTACACGTGGAGGGTCTACCGACCGAAGTTATTCCTCTAAAGTAGATAAAAGTTTCGAATTTCATTATACAAAAGTTAACCAAAATAACGATGTTGGTGCCTGCTAAAGGACGTGCGGAAAGCGGTTAGTACGTTTTCCTTACTTTGTCTTTGTCGTACACAGTAGCAAGACGCCGTTTACTTGTAAGTTGTAAAATGTGTAACTCACAAGCAGAAGAAACTTGACAATTTCTGTACAGTGTTCTAGTTGGGAGTCTCTAGAAATTAAAAGTTATTGTTGTAAGCAACGCTCTTTGGGCCCCTTAATTTTCTTTTATAGAATAAGAGTTCCAAACGAGCACATAATCCACCTGATAGTACTAAGTGGATGCTGTAGCCCATTGACATCTACATCTATACTTAGTTAAAAATCAAAGTAAAGATGAGTTGTCAACCCTGAGGACTAAAGTGGAATGCATGAGGCATTCCAGTTAAAGATTCTTCAGTTCTCTTCACTCAGCATATGAAACACAGTAGCGGAGAGGAGCTTTTTTACGCTGGTTTTCTGTGTGACCGTGGTCTTTTCCCAGTCGAGTTGACACATTCCTACTAAAAGCACAATATAGCTAATATTACCCACTGAAAAAGTATGATTTGGGTTTTGCATTTACTACCCCAGACCTTAATATCATAATTAATCAATGAATGAACAAGCGCATTATATACTGTGTGAAGTGTATCAAAATCAACCACATACCTTAGATGCTTAAACACCCAAATACGCTTGTTTATCTTAGAGGCTTGTAGATATATGATAATGACTAAGCCAGTTTATTTTACAATTTAAAACGACGCCAGGTATTTAAGAGTATCAGATTTATGGAGCCTGTGGCATGAACATTGCCGATATTTCAATAAGTTACAACAAATGTTATTTCATTGACATATTTTCTGTGCGGCTTTCCTTGATACTTATCTGACGAATACGACAACGAATATAATTAAAAAAGACAATTAAAAATGTCGCTGTGTAGAACAGGTATATGTGAATCCACTAGCCCATAACCATATAATATATCATACTGTGAGTGTCGTAAGAAACGATAGAGATGATTGAAACATGATTGATAACAAACAGATGAACAGCAGCATCTTCCTGATATCTACTCAAAAAAATGCGGTTGCCAGCTTGCCCGCCAAGCACGACCATATTGCCAGCTTGCCCGCCAAGCACGACCATATTGCCAGCTTGCCCGCCAAGCACGACCATATTGCCAGCTTGCCCGCCAAGCAACGACCATTTCGCTTGCCCGCCAAGCACGACCATATTGCCAGCTTGCCCGCCAAGCACGACCATATTGCCAGCTTGCCCGCCAAGCACGACCATATTGCCAGCTTGCCCACCAAGCACGACCATATTGCCAGCTTGCCCGCCAAGCACGACCATATTGCCAGCTTGCCCGCCAAGCACGACCATATTGCCAGCTTGCCCGCCAAGCACGACCATATTGCCAGCTTGCCCGCCAAGCACGACCATATTGCCAGCTTGCCCGCCAAGCACGACCATATTGCCAGCTTGCCCGCCAAGCACGACCATATTGCCAGCTTGCCCGCCAAGCACGACCATATTGCCAGCTTGCCCGCCAAGCACGACCATATTGCCAGCTTGCCCGCCAAGCACGACCATATTGCCAGCTTGCCCGCCAAGCACGACCATATTGCCAGTTTGCCCGCCAAGCACGACCATATTGCCAGCTTGCCCGCCAAGCACGACCATATTGCCAGCTTGCCCGCCAAGCACGACCATATTGCCAGCTTGCCCGCCAAGCACGACCATATTGCCAGCTTGCCCGCCAAGCACGACCATATTGCCAGCTTGCCCGCCAAGCACGACCATATTGCCAGCTTGCCCGCCAAGCACGACCATATTGCCAGCTTGCCCGCCAAGCACGACCATATTGACAGATGTCCCGCTCATGAAGCAACCAACAGCGAGGCCTATGTTCAGCAGTAGACTTTGGGTGAGCTATAATTTATTAATGAAGAAATAATGAATGAATGAAATGGAGTGCGGAGGTCATCTATTATGAAAACGGGCACGAATTTTCTTTATTCAACAGAATTCCCGAAGGTAACATAAGCGACAACGTGAAGGGTTTGGTTACATTAAAAACGTTGGAATCACACACGTGGGGCTTCCCAGCTACAAAATTAGTTTCGGTGGAGTAACCTCAAAGCAAGTCCCAGAAGAGTTTTCGTCTCGAATCATGAACGCATATCCTTGGTTCTGTAGCAATAAATTGAATATTGTGTTTTGGACTATGTCGGTCACTTCGGTTATACTGATATCATTATATCAAAGTTTATCACGCAAAAAAAACCCTAAGCATAGGCCCCCCTCGCTGAGCGGTCTTGAGCGTACCATTCCCAAAACAATGGTATATTGGAATGTGCCATTGTCCTGGGAAAAATCAAAAAACCCTTTATGACTTTTTTTAAAGGAGCGGGTTAAAATTAGGTGTAGTTGTATGATTAAGGCATTGTTGTTATCGTTAAAGCCTATCAAAAGTACAAAGGCTTGTTCTACATATTGCCTTATAAAGAGTGTTATTTATTATAGTTTCCGCGCTTGGTGAACTGGTATCACTGACCTCTATACATACAAATACGTATGGTATAGAAATCGTATTAGAAATAGCTTTAACTTAGTTCTTTAAAGTTTTTGTCACTTTTATTATATATGTGCAATGCGTAGTAGAGCCATGCAGTATTTGTAAAATAACAGGGTTGGGTGGGCTCGACAGGGAAGAAACAAACTCTTACAGAAAACCAGCGTAAAATAGCAGCTTAATGCTGCTTTCTTTCATATGATGTCTGTAAAGAATTGAAGGCCTTTTAATGGAAAGGAAACATTCCGTCTTAATCCTTTGGGGTGGCAATACATTTGCTTTTTATTCTTAATCCAGGATAAATATAGATGTCTATGGGCCGCGGCATCCACTTACCATAAGATGGACTGTGTGCTCGTTTGTCACCCATATTCTATATAAAGAATATTCACTAGTCCTCTTGAAGTTTTTTCCATGTTTTTCGTAAGGTTTCTTTCTTCTATTTCACGATTCTAATTACAGATTGAAACTTGAGAAGAATAAATGCATCTCTTGTACAAGTACCATATTTTATTAGCATATTTTGAACAATGATCTTATTTATTTTATGTAAAATAAATTAAGGTTTATATTAAAGTAGTGTTTTATAAATATCTCATTAAGTATGGTCACTTGTGAAATACATTACTTGCACAGAGTGGCTCTATAAAATTCAAGCCAAATAGATATTGTTCCCAACAACTGGTAGCTAGCAATTAATAGGCAACGCCCAATGTAAACACTACCTCCTATCCGCCAACGTCAGTAATGGTCGGCCATTTGTCACTTTAATTATGTACGGAAATTGTATAACTTTATTTTGTACGGAATATTATATCATGCCGCTGTTTTGATATTCCATTGATTACTAACACAGTTTTTAAATAAATGTTTGTATTTTTGCGATTTAGATATACATTTGGACTTTTTTTCCCATTACTTAAATATAAAAGTGTATACCTAAATCACAAAAATGAAGATCATGTTTCACTAAGTAACAAAAACCGCAAGCGTAAATTATATTATGCACGTGAGTGTATGATTACAACGTGAAACGTCTTTAAAATCATACCAAAAATACAGGTACGTGATCAGAAAAGCGAACCGTAACGAAAAGGTCTATATCGTATTGCCTCAACAATTATAAAAATTTAAGTCCTACAGACCTGAGTGCAGTGTCATTATTCAAATAATATAGTCAGCTCGCTGTTACGACCTTGAATCTGCATCAGGACCGAGCGGGCTGGGAGGGAAAGAGCAATGCGTAAATTGGCCAAAACCGACATTCTCTCTCCTTTATTACACTAAAAGCGATTCGATGACTTAATTGTTTCACGGTATACCAACTGCCGAGTGCCCCGACACAGCCACACTCGGTTTTTAATTTTATTTATGTAATGATTTCTTAAATTTACGCGAACACTACACATTGAATAAAACTACATTTACGGATTTTATCTTTTATTTTTATTTATGTACACAAAAAATAGCATGATAATCTACAAATATCTTTGAAGCACGTCTATCTTTTTGATCTTTTTTTAAACAAACTGGAACCAATTGCACAATTATAGAAGGAGCTTTTAGCCCAAATTTACACATCCTGAAACTTTACACAAAATATCGCTTAATCTGTCCAGGTGGCACCTCAAATTATGTACACCTCAGGCGCGGTGACACCTCCGCTCTATGACAGGCTTATTTTGACAGTTCTCTTTCTGTTTTGTGTCATTTATTACAACTCTATCATCATCATCATTACAGCCCTTCACAAGTCCACTGCTGAACATAGGCCTCTCCCAAGGGCATACCTTACAAAGCACGGTCCCGAAACACTCGAAAAACATAACCTTTCTTTTGGGGCAGTCGGGTAAAGAAAATAAATAGGCCAAAATTAAAAAGGATCGAGAAATAAAATTACAGTTCGCTTAAATATTAAATATTTTATTTGAAAACAAACTTATCCGATTCATGTATACATATAATCTTATATATTAAATACATAGTCTCAATATTATACACTCCATGTGCCTACTTATTTTCGCATTTATTGTTAACTTCCCCTATTAGTTTATATTTACATTTAATATTTATAAAAATTAATCTGACGAATCTATATAAAAATCTTGTTTGTAATTTAGTAGTAATTTACATATATTTGTTCGAGAAGAATAAAGTTAATGTAGTTTTGAATAGATTCCTATCCTTATATTCTTTAAGTTAAAGTTCATAATAGAATGAATTAACACACGCTCCTGTGTGACATTGCCCTGAGTGGAGACTGATCGCAATGCTACGCCGCACGCCTCAACGTATAGTCTCCACTCTGACCTAACATACATAGAACTTTCTATCTATAATCGCCATTTACTTTGGTCGTCTTTACCAAACTGATGTCAACATAAAAAATAATTTTAAAAAAGGTGGCAAACGAGCACACAGTCCACTTGATGGTACCTGTGGCTCGTAGACATCTACACATATCTTCGATTAAGAATCAAAATGCAAATGCCTTGTCAGACCTGATGACTAAAATGGATCATTTCGAGTAAACAGGTCTTCCTTTCTCTACACTCACACACAATCTTAATTTCTTACGCCGAAATAAATAGATAATCATTTAATTTAGTTATAAATATACATAAAGAATTAAACTTGAATTCATAGATTTCGAAATTACATTTATTCATATTTAATTTAAAAAAAAAATTCTACAGAGGTGGTTTATTGTATATATTATGATATATCACATATATATACTTAACAATGCTCCATTAAAATAAATAACAATATATTAATATTCAAATCTATTTTTAATTTTATTTTATTTAAAATCCATACCTTTAATATGGTAATCGCTTTCTGTGTGATTTCTTTTGACGATTTTAAAATAAACGTCTAGTATAATCTAAACATAACAACCTGATACCTTGCCAGGACACAGGATAGCGAGTGCCATATGGCGGTAGCCAATACGCCGTTAAAAACATGGCGTTCTGTGCAAAAATTCCCTATGTGTAGAGGCACGTACACAGTTCAAGTTAAAATGGCCAGTGATAGTTTTTTTTTTTTGTTTCAACTTGGATTTCGTGTCCAATTTATTTCTTTCAGAACGCCAATAAGTAGTGAAAGTGTATTAAATATGTAACGGCTAAGATTAGTCGGCTACAGTTAGATGCAGACGATTTTGGTTGGTTAAACTTAGCTGCATACGGTTTATTCATGGATAAAACTCCGGTGTTGTCGCTTGCTTTCGAATAAAAGTACGTATATTAAGGTCCAAATGACAACTATAGTAACTGGGACTTCTATCGACTTCTTACCTATCGAGCTATATCCGCTACAGTTGGTTGATAACAAAAATACGAAGAATATATCAAACTTAGATAATCTGCGAACTGTAGGTTTCATTTTAAAGAATTGTTGATTTAGCTCTAACGGCACTTTAGCTTTAAGGCGTAACACATACATATACTTGTATATCTAATGCTTTAGATTAGAAATGTGGCAGTATTTTTAGAATTTGTTGTTTTGTTACAGCACTAAAATAAGTTTAAAACAAAAATATTTTATTAGTAAACTAAAACCAAACACCTTGGATTGTAAATAATTTTAACATTTATTCTGTGGTTGCGTCATATTTTCGAGTAAACAATAAAAAATCTTTACCGTTATTTGTATGATACCAAAAACTATATTTAAATAACTTAATAATTATTCTTCCAAACATTCCCACAATGGCGGGAACGTAGCTTGTGTATTATTTTATAAATGAACGTTTTAAGTTACCACTTGCACGCCAACTCGACTTCTTAACGTTAACAATTATAATATGATTTACAATATACACCTTTTACCTACCTACCTCCTCCTTACATATATTTACAATCACTGGGAGGTGCAACGAATGAGACGAAAATTTTGAATAATAGGACCCGAGTCACCGCTAAACATTACAAGAATACACGCCCATTATACAAGTCATTAGAGTATAAATTTGATTAAAATATCTTTGAGGAACGTTTGTTACATTAGCTAGAGTAACTTTTAAAAGGTTATTATTAGGAAAAAAATGCTAATGTTAATAGTAGGTACTTCGTTAAAACTAATCCAAGTAATGATGGGTAGTGACTCCAAGGAAAGATAAATCGTAAATAACAAAGTATTCAATAAAAAACATCTTGCATTAAAACGGACTATATTTTATCAGTCAGGATATTACACGTACTAAATCGCAATAATGCGTCAAATCCAACAACGGATACCGGGCTCGGGTCGACAATCGAACGCTATTATAATCGCTTCATAAAAATCTTAAAGCTATCATAAAATCTCTATTCGAAATTATTTATTTACTTAATTTATCGGAAAACTAAGTGTTCGTTAGTAAAATTACTTAGTACGGGATAATAACATTTATATGTGCTTAATGCGACGCGGCACAATTGCGTAAATACGTCGCACTTCGGCGTGCCTGCGTCACATTTCAGGGTGAGCGCATCACAACTAGACGAACGTGCGCGCAGTTGTCACACTTTGATGGGCTTTGATCACACTTTGGCGTGCTTTGGTAACACTTTGGCGTGCGTTGTCATACTTTTGCATGCTTGCGTCACACTTCGGCGGGCGCATAAAGTGTGGGACGCAGGTAACCGCGCGATCAGCTGGCGAGTTGAGCGCGTAACAAACGAGCGTGTAGAAATCCAGCCAGTAGTAACGCAAGGATGCAACGTGAGCTATTTGACAAGCCAGCGGAGCCCGTCTGCATCGCCGCCGGCCGCTCACCTGCAAACCAAGAACGTATTATTGACAGCTAATTACCAATTAAAAAGAAATATTAGCTGTTGATAGAAATGTTAATTCTTTTTTCATTTTTATTTAAAAATTTATACTTTTAGTAAAAGTTAACGCTATTAAGTAAAAAGTATGCTAAAAAGAGCAAAACAGCTACCTAAATTTAAGAGACTTTTGAGTGAACTAAGTTATCATAAGTTAGAATATCATCTAAAAAATAAAACATTAAGAACTTTATCCCCAATTTTTCTATCTTTAGGAATAGATTTTTTTTTCAGATACGGTATGGGTTCATCCCCTGAAGTATATAATATTTACTAGTTCATTTTTATACTTCGAAGGGACAAAAGTATAACAAAATGCCATGGCCAGAATTATCTTAATGTTTCCAATACATGACGTTATTTATACCCACGCTGTTTACACCAGGTGTAAAATGTTCAAACTGGGATAGGAGCAGCGTCCTATAACAAAAAAATGTGCGAAATATATGCTATTGCTTTGTCAATTCTGCTGCAAAGCGTGACTATTACGGCGAATAATATGTACCTACACTAATGGCGCAATTACACTTGGTCGTTAGCTCGTATTCGATTGCCTATGGAATTCGGGCGAACGAATTCCATAAAAAACGAAGTGTAAATGAACGGAGACGAGTACGCCCATCTTCGTACAATCTTTCGTTTAGGCAGAGAGATTACTTCAACGAAGAGTAAAACAATATAAATAATTCATCGGGTGCCCGAATTCGAATAACGTCTTTCGTGCACCCGAATAAGGGCTAACGACCAAGTGTAATTGTGACCTTAATAGTACTTATTATTTATTCTGTGCGTAGACTGAGGGAGTCCTCATCGAACAGTTGACTTTTACTGCGTCTTACCATTGAGCACGTGCACTCTTACGGAGGCGACCTCCGCATTGGATGGTGAGCAGGAGTATCGTCCAGAGTCTGCGGGCGTGGCGTCTTGCACCAGTAGGTACGAGGTCGTCGCCGCGCCTTTCTCCGTCACCACCGACACTCCGCCGCGCGACGAATCGTACGATATCACCTGCTTCACAGATAACACAAAATTGCCACAGGTTTTATAATCCATATAACCGTCCGTGAGAACAAACCGTGTGGTGGAGGTGTAAGAATATCCACTATCCCATATAGTATTGTGAGTGTCGTAAGAGGCGACAAAATGTTTAAAGAAATTTATTTTCAAAAAGAAAAACATTGCCACTTACATGAAAATAATGACAACATTTTAGTGAACTTATTCGTTCCGAAAACTCATTCAATAGCTTCACAGTTCCAGTTGTATGGTGAAAGATGTTTAATTATATATTGAAACAGCTGATAATACTACTAAATGAGATTAAAATTTTATATTGCAAGGCAATATATTATAAATCTGTGCTCATTCAAAGATAAAGCTCTTGTATGCGTTGTCGTGCGTTTAAAAACTTGAGATTTTTTTGCAAGTTTTTTTTTGTTTTAAGGGGATGTTATCAATTGTCAGCGGGTCATGTAATATAATGGTATAGTTTTATTCTTTGCTTTAAAAATTATATAACTCGTTTTAGAAGTGTTTATCGTTAGTAAATTATATCGGAACCACTCAATCAATAGTTCTTAATCTTCTGGCATTTGCGACATAATATCATGTACATAGAATACTATAATGCACAATAGAATGGCTGTCAACCTTATTTTGTACGAGGTATAGGCGTTGCCAAGAGCACACATACAAGCAATTACATCATATTATCAGTTAATCACTACTACAAACCCGATTCGCTGTGTTGACAGATATATTTTAATACATATTTATTTGTAAATAGCGTGCAATTTGACATTTTCTAAATAATTTGCATGCGAATTTTGAAAACGATTGTAACGTCAGTACAGATCTCGTGTTGACATTTATACGTGTGATTTGACGTTTTAGAGACATTTTATTGGCTACACAGGCTCTGCCCACTCCCCCGTTCTATTATGTATGTATTATAGTATTCTATGATCATGTATATTAGATCCGAAATAAAATAGACATGTATCGTCAGTGTACAAAGTAATATGACCATGTAACCCTAGTTCTGCGATATTCTTTAAATTTTTTATTGGAGAGGAGGCAAACGAGCATACGACTCACCTGATGGTAAGTGACTACAGCCGCCCATGAATGACTGCAACACCAGGAGAATTGCAGGTGCGTTGCTGGCCTTTTGGATCGGTTCGGAAAAGTCGCCGATGGTAAATTATTTCACAGAGAGGTCGTACGCGAAAGGAAACTCCTAGTGAAATGTACAGTGGTTGACCGCCAAGTATACAGATGATGTGGATGGTACCGGGAGTTTTGCCGCGATTTGAGTTCATTAAGTTTGGCAGCTGGAATTTATCAGAACCATTCCTACGAGCAATCCCCATAGCAAATGCGAAAGAAAATGTAAAGGAATGCAACGTCTCTTCGCAGCACCAGTGAATCGAGCCGACAGGAAAGCACTCGGTCGCCAACGATTCGAGCCGCTTTGCACTATATGTAGTCTAGTGGAAGGTGCTGGCACTGGGGAGCCACAGTGAGATATGATCCTGCGCCTTGTAAAGTTGCAAGCGGTGTACCGTCATAAAATACTGTTCCACTCTGCGGAGCACGCTAAGCTTTTTTAGGGGACATTTTGGCCTTCTCTTCCAAGTTATAACAAAACTGCACATCACTCGATGTGCCGATGCCGAAGATTCCGATAATCGCTGAGGCAACAAGATGAGTGCCTTGAAACTAAGGAGATATGACAAAGGGGTTCTTTTTAGCAGTAAACCTGCAAACTTGTATCCTCTGAGGATTAAACAGAACTAGAGTTCATCATCATCATCATCATTACAGCCCTTCACAAGTCCACTGATGAACATAGGTCCCCCAAGTAACGCCACAAAGCACGGTCCTGAGCCACCTGCATCCATCGAATTCCCGCATGTCTTACCAGGTCGTCACTCCATCTAGTGGGGGGTCGCCCTAAACTACGCCTACCGGTACGAGGCTGCCACTCGAGAATCTTTCTTCCCCATCGGTTATCGGTTCTTCGAGCTATATGGCCGGCCCATTGCCACTTCAGCTTATTAATCCGTTGGGATATGTCGGTCACTCTGGTTTTACTGCGGATATCCTCATTTCTGAGTCTATCACGCAGAGAAACTCCGAGCATAGCCCTCTCCATAGCTCGCTGAGCGACCTTGAGCGTCCTCATACGGCCAGCAGTGAAGGACCACGTCTTTGATCCGTAAGTCATCACTGACAACACGCACTGGTTGTACACTTTAGTTTTCAGAGATTGAGGTATACCTGACGAGAAGATGTGTCGTAATTTCCCGAACGCTGGCCAGCCGAGTTGAATCCGACTTACCTAGTCGGACTATTTGTCCCAGGTAAACGTACTCGTCAACAACTTCGAGCATAGTGCTCCCCACAACTACCGGCATAGGTGTGACATGGACATTAAACATGATCTTTGTTTTGTCCATGTTCATCTTAAGAACTATCCGTTGGGAGACACCATTGAGGTCATTGAGCATAGTGCTAAGGTCCTCCAGCGATTCTGCCATAAGGACTACATCGCCGGCAAATCGAAGGTGAGTGATGTACTCGCCATTGAGGTTAATACCGTATCCTTTCCAGTCCAGTAGCTTGAAAACGTCTTCCAACGCAGCGGTGAAGAGTTTCGGGGATATAACGTCACCCTGTCTTACACCTCTCTGCAGTTGGATAGTTTTCGAACTCTGGTTCTGTACTCGAATAGCCATCGTAGCCCTACTGTACAAACACTTCAGCACCTCGATATACCGACAGTAAACTTGGCACCGCTGAAGGGACTGTAGCACCGCCCAAATTTCGACGGAATCAAAGGCTTTCTCATAGTCCACATACGCCAGATAAAGTGGTAGATTGTACTCCTCGATCTTCTGTACAATCTGCCGCAGGGTATGTATGTGGTCTATGGTACTGAAGCCTTTTCGGAAACCGGCTTGTTCGGGAGGCTGGAAGTCGTCGAGTCTGCGTGCGAGACGATTCGTAATGACTCTCGAAAACAGCACGTAGACGCGGCTCAGAAGGGTAATCGGTCTGTAGTTCTTCAAGAGAGCGTTGTCACCTTTCCTAAAGAACAAGACCACCGCATTTCTGCTCCACGCCTCCGGAGTAGTGCCACCATGGAGGACGGAATTGAAGAGCTTCTGAAGGACTTCAAGTACCGGTGTTCCACCCGCTTTCAGAAGCTCCGCTGTAATTCCATCCTCGCCTGGGGCCCTGCCGTTTTTAAGGTGCTGGAGAGCCATTCTAATCTCGCTCAGACTGACGTCCGGGATATCATCGGAATAGTGTCGGGTAAGACTTGCTCTTGGATCGTTACTCACACTTGCGTGTGGCTCCAACGATGATGTGTACAGCTGCCCATAGAAGCTCTCAATCTCACTCAAAATCTCAGGTGTCTCGTAAACTATGCTGCCACACTCAGTCTTCAGCTTTGACAGTTGGCTCTTTCTGGCAGACAGATCTCTGGCAAAGACTTTGGAGCCCTGGTTCCGCTCGATCGCTTCTTTAACACGAGCAGTATTAAAGTTGCGTAAGTCTTGCCGCATGCATTTGGAGATCTGTCTGTTCAGTTACCTGTATGCTGTCAAATTTGTTGACGATTGCAGCCTCATCTCCCGTCTAACAGCCATGAGATTAAGAGTGTGATCGGAGAGTTTTTGTGTTCTTCTGCGGCGGGTCTGCAGAACTTAGCTCCGACCGCATGGACAGTTTCCACGAGCTTGTCATTCATATCTTCCACTGCATTGCAGTCTTCTAGGCACTGAAAGCGGTTATGTAACTCGAGCTGAAAAGTCTCTGGATTCTGGAATTAGAGTACAAGGGGGACGGAGCGTTGACTTCATTAGACGAGACCTCTCCAACTTAACGTTTAGGTTCAGTGTGCCTCTAACCATTCGGTGATCGCTGCCGGTTTTCACCCTTGCGATCACTGAGACATCACTGAACAGTTTGCATCTGGTCGTCATAATGAAGTCAATCTCATTTTTTGTCGAACCGTCGGGTCTCGACCAGGTCCACTTCCTGTGGGGACGCTTCTGGAAGAAAGAGTTCATCATAAAGAGTCCCTCTTTCTCCATAAAGTCGGCCAGCTGCTGGCCCCTACGGTTCCGTTGCCCTACTCCAAATTTCCCCAACTTCAGCTCACCGCTTTCTCTGTGCCCAGTTTTGTGTTGAAGTCTCCCATCAACACCGTGTAGTGGGTTTTGGAGGAATGTATGGCTCTGGAAATATCCTCATACATTTCCTCCACCTCCTCATCGGGATGTGCCGAGGTTGGTGCGTAAACCTGTATGACCTTCAGCGAATACCGTTTGGTGATTCTGAGTATCAGGTACGCGACCCTCGTCGACACACTCCCAATCTTTACAACGTTTTGACGAGAGACTTGTGGACAATAAATCCGACACCTCCTTGGGACAGATGGTCGCACTCCCGGTGATAGAACAAGTTGCCGGACTCGAGGATTACCGTGTCCTCCTACTCTCTTCGGAACTCAGATAATACAATAATATGCCATCGCAACTTGTCTGCCTCTTCTTCCAGCTCCAGTATCTTCTCGTCAGTTCTCAGGGTGCATGCGTTATACGTTGCCAGGTCGAGTCGTCGTAGGTGGCAACCGAACCTCCACCGGAGATTCTTAGCACCCCCGCCCCGCCGTTACCATGGTCGCCACCATAGCCGGGAATAGCGGGGCCGCCGGGGACTGGGGGGCCGTTTATTTGTGTCGTTGCTCATGGGGGGATATTTGCCATAGTTGCCACGCTTGGCGAGCGGGTTGGCAACCGCTGTTTTTTACTATGTTATTGTTATTATTAGGAAGATGCTGCTGCCCATCTCATTTCTGTGTCCTTCTGTCGCCTCTTACGACACCCATGGGAAGATATGGGGTAGTGGATATTCTCAACCGCCACTACACGGCTACTAGACTTATTCGCCCCTAATCCAAGACTTTGTTCAGCAAAGAAGGGAGTTTCGAAAGAAGT